GTAGTGTTTTGAATGGTCAGGTTTTTCTTTAACCAGTAGTGTAACCACTTCTTTATCACTCATAAAACATGTTGCTTTTATTTTTAAAACGTAAGCAATTTGCTAATGTTTAGAGGTCAGCAAACAGTTGTTTTAATTGGAATTATGGTGTTCAAGAAGGGTCTCTCCTGCGGCCACAGACTTCCATTTCCTGTATCTGTAGGAAACAACAGAGTTAAAGGATGGGTGATGTCCTAAGACATTAACTGATGAGGGAGAATCAAACTACATATTCAGACAACTTCCGTAGTTGAGTTTTGTGTAGAGTGTAATTTTTTTTTTCTTGATACTCATCTTTTCTGTCAGAAATCACTGAAGTTCTGTTCCCACACCACTACTCTGCCTTATTCATATTGCAGAAGTAACTTTCAAAGAGGCATGACGACAAAAAAAATCTGTTGCAAACTTTTATGCCTGCCTTGTTAGTAAATGATCTTATTAAAGGCACTTCAGAAATTGTAGTACAATGGATCTTTCTTCCTCTTTCTGTTGGCTAAGTACAGTTTTTTCCATTTAGTCTAAAAATAATACTATTTTCCAGATGCTGCCTTTGAGTTTTCAACATTTAATCACATTATTCCTGTTTCTTCATTATCAGCTGACTTTTAAAAAGTGGAAAGTTTTGCTTACTTGCAAAAAAACCAGCAACCGTGTTTAACAAAATGTGATCTTTTTGTCAAAAACTATGTTCTTTTACATTTTTTCTTTTTTTTTTTTTTATTTGAAAGGTGCGTGGAAGAATGCTAATACAAAATGCAGAGTGTTTCCAGGATTAGGAAAATAGTTAATACATAAGTGCTGGATTGTAGTCTTAATTGTGCAGTTAAAGCTTCTCTTGGCATTAAGTTACAGAAAGTCTCTTGTGCCGGAAGAGCCCTCACATGACCAGTCTTCCCTATTTTGCCCTCTTTAGGTGGATAAGATAGTGGACCAGCTGCAGCAGTTCGTTCAGAGCTATGATCTGCCTGCCCTGAGGGATTACTGGAGTTATCTGGACCGACGCCTTTTCAGCCGTCTCGAGGATGTGTACCGGCCAACGGTGAACAAACTGAAAACCAGCTTATTCCGGTACTACCTCGTCCATGCTGTTCAGGTAGTGTTTGATTTTTAGGCTTCTGTTTTGAAAATATCCTGGTCTCTGAAACCAGATCAATAAAATACCCTTGTGAGCCTCTGACAGGTCTAGTGGGTAAGGGACAAGCAATTTGTGTGTCATGTATCAGGAGTGTAGTAAGTAGTTTGATGCAAACTCACATGAAAAGATTGTAATCAGGATAGGAAGCTCAGGTGAGAGGAAGTATAATTAACTGGGAGCAAGATAATCACACTTGGACGTGAAGGCAGGTCTCACTCAGGATGGTTGTGCTGCTAGCTCAGCCTCTGTTAGTAACCTGGGTACTGGGAGAGACTACAAGGTTTGTAAAGATCTCCTTATGGGGCACTGCCATGAGAACAGAGGAGGACAAGAGCAGTGCTCAGAGCAATCTTCCTAAATTGAAGAAACAGGCAGAAGAAAGCCATAAGCACCTGTACATAGGTAGTGGTAGTCAACTGCTCCAGTGTAGAATAAGGAACAATTGAGCATGCAGCAGTAGTGCAAGGAAGGACCTTACTGTAGTACCGGCTATCAACAGGCAGGATTGTCTGTATTCTTTCAACTCTAACCTGCTGGCAGGGCTCAGCCAGTCCTTCAGGCACCACAGTTCTTAAAGCATCAAGGGAGTTGAGTCCAGAAGAAAAAAAGGTGACTTGAAGTTGGTGGAGCTGAGGTTTAGTTTGAGAGAGGGGAGAAGTGGGCTTCAAATCTGTACAAGGTAACGTGAGAGAGAAAATGCATGAATTTTTTTTGTTTGTTTTTGAATAAAACAGAAAATAATGAGCTTCAAATGGAGCAGGTCTCTTGTTGAAGCCCTAAGAAATTCAATGGAATGTATTACACAGGGTGGGCTTTAGCAAACAGACAATACGTGTCAGGAATTCATGTTTCATTTCTTACCATTTAGAAGCAATGTTTCCTCCTTGATTCCATTCCCTGACTGAAAATCTTTGATGGGTGTTAGCGGAGGAGTCAAAATCTAATGCATACTTCTGCAAGTGCATTTTTTTACATTTTTTTTTGCCCAGTGCTTACCCTGAGGTGTGACTGTCCTGTCTGAATAATGTATCAGATAGAAATCTTTTCAGGCCACATCTGCTGTAGACTTGAGTAATTTGAAGTATACTTTGGTCCTGTGTTTGAATGCTCATGTTTTGGGTCAGTGCACAAACTGCACTGGTTTAGCTGGAAATCAGTGTGATTAGTTCAGTTTGCCTCAGCCTTTAAACAATACCATGATGACTAGAAAGAAGGTCATGTTAACTGCCTTTGTTTGCTTCTCCTAGTGTATTTGAGATTTTTTTTTTTTGCTCTGATGCATCTGTTAACTCCAACCACTTGCTCTGTTGGGTAATGAAAGTAGTTGTTGGTATGTTAGTAACACAGAGCGAATATTCCTAGAACTGATGTGGTGGCATTAATGGAAGTGTGAACCCTGTTCTTGCTGTGTTTCAGACCTGCCGCAATGACAAGGCACAGGAGTTTTTCCTCAAGCAGGCTTCCGAGCTCCAGAACCAGGCAGAGTGGAAAGATTGGTTTGTCTTGCCCTTCCTTCCTGCTCCAGACTCCAATCCCACCTTTGCCACCTATTTCTCACGCCAGTGGACAGATACATTTATTGTGTCTCTGCACAACTTCCTGAGTGTCTTATTTCAGTGTATGCATATCCTTTTTGAAACTAATAGTTAAATCTCCCTTGCCCTGTTATGCTTACTATTAACAGCAGTGCCAAGAATATAGTATTACGGAACTTGCTGCTTTCAGGTGATTGCTTAGGGCCATCTTAATAGGAAGCTGGTGTTTACCAGAGGATGTTGGAATAGTTACTGTTCAATTATCTGATGATATGTTTTATTCCCTGGGCACAAACACTTGTGGTTGTTGCTAATGCTGAACTCATCCCTATGCTAGTGACTAGAAATCTTGTGCAGATCTCATTCTGAACTGTTTCTTCAGTGTACACTAATGCAGTAACATAACCTGTCTTGTCCTCCACTTCTGACATGTAAAAAGGAAGACTAAAATCCTTGTAAAACTCATGTGAAATAGTTTGTGCAACAGTAAAGTACAAAGCAAGTACAAAGTTGGCTTCGGTAACTAAGCTGTTACTAGCCTTCTGGCCTTGCACATACTTCTTGCTGGTAATATGGACCTGCACCGCTTTGCTGTCTTAGAGGCAAATGGCTGGTATGGAGTGCTGGCTTTTAGAATTAAGCCAGGTGTATAAGAGTTCTTGCCTTGGTTTTCTTTAACATTCTTCACCAGTTCCAGTCATTTTGAACTTTGAAGCTGAATGTCTCAGGAGCAGTCTCATACAAGAAGAAAATGAATCGTTGCGACATAAGGTCAGAACTGAAGTCACCTTTTAATTGCTGACTGTATGAGGCTGTGAGTTTTGTAAAATTGGTTCCATCAATTCAAGAAAATTGTAACTGTTCAGTTCAGTGTACTTACTTCAATGCAGATTCTTCTGTAAGTCCTTTGTGGTTTATCTTTTAACTGTCTCCAGCAAACTTAGGGTTGTGATGATATTGTCAAATGTCTGTTCAGGGTATTACTGTCCCTTTGTGGGTGGTGACTGTCCCTCTCCCTGTGCTATCTCATAGGTGGCTGGATACTGTGCAAAATCCTTTTCTGCTACACTGCAAAGTCAAGACAAGCTGAAACTAGTGGCAGGTTAAGGACATATATGGCTGACTTTGCATGGAAACTTGTGAATGGTGTTTAGTCACTTCCAAATTTTACCTGATAGAGTAATAGAAATGGGCAATAACTTCTGGCAAAGAAGCACAAACTGTTACTTCTGAAATGGCCGCTTCACCATGGTTGAAGTGCACTTAAAGCAATTTAGATCAGCTAATGGAAATGTTGTGAATGTTGGTTTCCCAACTCTAGACCTTACAGTAAACTATAAGAAGGGCTGACTGGTTCAGACAAAATGACACTCAGCTCCATGTCTTGTTTTTGATATAGCAGCAGCAGATGCATAGAGAGAGGGTGTAAGAATATATAACGTGGGTTAGTCCTTTCCCAGTGTAATTTCCTATTAGAGAGATTTGGGAAATCTACAGTTTAAGAACTTTCTAAACTACAGATCACATGTGGATGATCACATACAAGTGGGAAGCCTTATTTATGTAAGCAGGACTTTGGTTTCACTTCCTCAAACACACCAAGTAAAAGCTCTCTGTATGAATGCTTCAGTAAAGTAAGTTTTGTGCTTTACCTTCTGTGTTACAAAATACTATGTTGTATGTTGTGCTCCATTTCAACTGTTTTGGTAGCTGATCAACACTGTTAATTTGCCCTAAAAATGTTGAAGTAAAATAGAATAATTGATTTCAAAAAGGAGGGTTTTCTCAAAAGAAAAGTGAGGTTTGTCACTGTATACTATATGGAGTCAGTAGATTAGGCAGACTTTGACAGGAGGGCTCTGTAAAGATGGTCTGTGAATAGGGACAACAGGATAAGGTATATTTTGGAAGAGCTCTCATTCCCTACAGCAACAGCTCAAGGAGAGGAGTGAAGGGTTTTAAGTAGGCTCCAGTTTCATGCATGTCAAGTACTGATTGTTTTGACTACTTGGACTAATGTGGTGCTCAGAGACTTTATTCCCTCCCCTCCCTTACAGGCTTGTTGAAATACAAGGAGTAAACTTCATCAAGTGGGAAGGAGGTGAATCTCAGTGACCCTCTGTTTACTTGGCTCTATTCTCTTGTAGCTGTTTGCTTTGCAAGCAGAATCCTCCCGCATGAAGAAAGAGGAACTGGAGGTGGAACAAGCAGCTGTGCATCACAAGTTGCCTGCATATGTGGCCAACATGGATCGACTAGGGGACTCAGAGCTGTGAGTGCCTGCAGGGGAAGAGCCGGGGACAGGTTCTGTTGCTTTTATTAGGTCAGGAAGGCTCCTGCAGGATCATTACATTGTTCCCTGCCCTGAGAATCAATGCAGAAAGATATCCAGGCAGAAGTTCTGGTGACCTAAGTGGGTTTTATGGGGGAATTCATGATGGGCATCTCTCCCACCATTTGGGGGAGAGATTCTTGCCAATTGGTGAGAGCTCCAGCACACATGGAAGTGATTCTGCTCTGCTCTCAGCATTATACCAAGGTGTTCTGGGCAGCCTGAGCACTGGTAGCAGTGCAGTACACTGCAGCATTACTCAAATGAAATGGATTGCCCCTTGACTCCTATTTACTTTAGAGCCTTTGGTGCAGTAGGGGATTGCTTGGTGTTATTTTGTAGACACTTACTGTATGACCCAAAGGGGTCGTTATGGAGAGATGCTTGCTTTCTTTTGCAAAGTCAAGGATAAAGGAGTTTTTCTTTTGTGAGGCCCAGTTTTGCACAGAATTCCCCATAAACTTGCTGCAGTTAGTGTTTTATGGCTACATCTATTATATTCCTATCTGGAAATTAGGCAACATCCGCAGTGATACAGCTTGTGTAACTGTTCATTAAACTTTTACTTTTCCCCCAGTATGCAGTCATAGAAAGCAAGTCTGTGTGTTTGAATTATTGAGGTTTTTTTTTTTCTTACTTTAAAAGGATCTGAAAGCAGACATAGCTTAGCCACAAGGTATTAATAATGTTGCTGGGGCTTTGACTTTCTCATGTGCTTCTTTCACTTCTATTCAGACAGGAGGGGGAATTGATCAAATTATCCTATAGACAGTGACAAATAGAAGTTCTAGCAGAGATCACACACAAAATCCTTGTTTTAGTCTAAAAGCTGTTTGATTAAATAGACTTATGTGTATAGTGAGCTATCTTGATAACTGCTCTGTACTCTGCACAGGGCAGGCTACAGAGTTTAATTTGAGATTGTTTTGTTTAACTGCTCTGTGGAAAGCCCTGATGTTCATCTGTACACATGGGGGAGAGTGACATGAGGCATGGGGTAATCTATTCCTATATTAATTTTTTTCCATTTGTCTTAGAAATGGCATTTCTTGTGTGTGTGACTTGACTCTTAGTTTGGAGGCCAGTCTGGTTGCTGTTTTCATGTCTCTGCTCAACCCAAAGCCCAACTTTGGTAGAACAGTTCCTTTCTAGAAGAGAGGATAGACACAGTGAAGATAACTGTATTCCTCTTCCCCGGGATGCTGCTCTGCTGTAAGAGGAAGCTGTAGCGGCATGAGGTCAGACAGTTATGTTCTGGGAAGCAACTGCTGCTTTTGGCATGGTGGGCTGAGAAGGGAGGTGTGTGTAATCACAGAAATGGATCTAAACTTTATCATTTCCTTTAGGTCCCATTTTTGAGATAGAGGGCTTGTGCTTTAAAATTGCTGAACATGACTTGCTGAGTATCTTAAGGGTGTTCAGTGAAACACTGGATAGTGAATGCCTCTCGAAGTAGGTCGGTTTTATGCCTTGAATTGGGAATTGCAGCTAAACAGGTTTTTTTTTTTAAATCTGGATTCCCTTGCCTTTCCCTTGGGATCTTCCTAAACTAACCTAGATAGACTGGAGGGAGTTTGAGGTGGCCCTGCAGGGGATTCAGCAACAGTTGAGCCCACTGTCTTGGTGGCACCTCTGAGAAGTGAGCTTTTATTAGTCTTTATAATGATCTGCTCCAGGCATTAACAGGATGTTTTAAAACTGTTTCAGTGGGTAGTGGTCCATTGGCTTGGAATGGAATATCTGTCCTCCTGTGGTTCAAACAGCTGGCACTTTGCTTGTTGGGTGGTCTTTGATCAGGTTGTCTGGCTACACTTTTGTATTCTGTTTTGTCATTTTGGTTTTTGTTGGGGATTTTTTTGTTTGTTTTTTTATTAGTGATATGACCTGCAGCCAGAGGAGTACTGCACATTCTCTTCAGTCTCGGGGAGGCTTTCTGTCCTCTTTTCTCTCCCAAAACAAAAAAGGCCCTTCCAGACCAGTCCATCCAAGTGGGGCTTCTCCAACACAGACTGGCAGTATGCTGCTAGGGAAGAAAGAACCAGCAAATCACCAGGTAATTCTCAACTGTGTGTGTTGAAAGATGCTCAGTATCTGAGGAGTTAACTTGCAGCACAGCACTGCTCCAGTCTTTTGCTTTCACCTGAAAAAATGAAATGTCCTTTCTTTCCTTGCACGTGTATGCTGGGACTGAATGTAGCACAAGAGCAGCTGCTGTTGTGTGGGGACTTGTGGAGCCCTTGCAGGTGATTGGTTTCTTTGCTGTGTCTTTTGCTCTTTGTTCTGCAGCCCAGCACAAACATAAATTTGCCAAATCATTCCTCTGCCTTCCAGAGTGCCAAAGGAAAAGAAGGAACAGTCATCTGTAAGGATGGGAAGAGCCACTTCAGTGGGTTTGTAGCAGGCGAGTCAAGTTCCCTGCAGCAGCGGCAGAAGCGCTTGCAAGAGCATGGGAAGGAAAGGAAGGAACTGCTGTCGAAAGGGACCTTCCAGGTACCAGGCAACACTGAAGGGCTGGGAACTGGAAGGCTGGTGTTTCTGGAGTTGGTTGTGCTAGGTGGTAAAACAAGCGCAAGTATGCCTGTTAAACTTCTGAACTGCTACTCAGATAAAACTGTATCAAAGATTAGTCTCTGGTTAGTTAATCAACTCCTTCCACACTCAGTTTATTTCTGTGTCCCTGTTGATGTTTCAAATGAAAGAAGAATCATCTTTTGTCATCTTTTCAACAGTCTGGTCTTGGATGTGTTTCATCCACCTTAATAGTTATGTTCACATACTTCGTTATAATCCCAGTTCCTTAGTGGCAATTGGCTCACCCATCCTGTCCCAAGTGAATTCTCTCCTGTGGATTCTTACACTGGCTTGTGCAGGCTCTGTGTGGAACAGATAAAAATTGTTAGAAAGTTTTCCTGGATAGGAGTGGAAACATCCTTTGCAGCAATGTTTGCTTTTTGGAGTTGTTTGGCACTGTATGTTGCAGTTTTGCTTGGGAGTGTGTCCTGCATTCTGATCTAATGAAATAGTAGAACTATGTTCTGGATTTTAACTGCTGAATGTCAGCAGACTACTTCTGCTCACCTGTGTATTGTCTGGATTTAAGCAGCCACGTGGTCAAAGGATGCGGAGCCCAGGAGAGATGATGACAGCATCTCAGCTAAATTTATTTTGGCTGTATAAGACACTACCTTGGGGCAGAGATACTGCTGTGGGACTGTTGTCTATCAGCCAGTATGTGTGGCTGTTATGTGTGTGGGAGTACTGCTTTAGAGAGATGTTACTCCACCACTGGGCATTCAAGGCTATGAGAGAACTTCTTTTCTTCATGGTTTATCTAAAACATTTTAATTAAACATTAGTCAGAAAACTGCAAAGTCCAGTTTCCCAATAAGTATCCTTTGACTTTCTTTTTCTGTGATGTTCCAGGTTAAGGCAGTGCTTTCCTGTCTTTGTATAAGTTGCTTCTGGTACTCTTGGAGAAGCTGATATTATTTAACTTTCTGTTCTCAATCCATGTGAGCAAAAAGGGAACTGAAAAGCAGCACCGTTTCTTTCACATGAGTGTCATTTATTGGCTATCTCCCCACATTAACCAACACCATCAATACCATTTTGGGGCATTACATTTTCAGAGGATGGTTTAGCAAAGGAATGCTTACAGATGTTTTACTGGCTTGTGTGCTGTATCTGCATCTTGTTCAGCTTCTGGCAGCAGGGCAAGACTAAGCTGCTTTCAAACACTTCTGTTGCTGCAGTGCAGACAATTGTCTCATTCAGATATCTTCACTTCCTAAAACTCCATTTTTCTGTCTGCCTTGTCAAATTTAGTTTTAAGCTTTTGGACACATGTTGACTCTAGCATTTTCATCAGTCAATTGGCTGCAGTGGTTGCTTCAGTGTGCGCAAAGTCTGTGGCAGACAAGGATAACCCATCCACTGGGGCTCACCATCCAACAAGAGTTTTTGTGCAGTTTTACTGAACTGCATATTATGCAGACTTAATTTATATTGCTGAGTGCAAGAATTCCTTGTTGATTTGCTTGTGAGTCTGTGCTCTAATGGCATCAAAGTGAGCCTCTTATACCAGCCAAAGGTATGCCAAACAGATGTTTTCATTCCTTTAATTCTTAGAGGAAAGTATATGGCTGGGCACATGGAGGGTGATATAAGGGACTCTACAACCAAGGAGGCCATTTTAAATGGTGCAGTTGTGCAACACTATCCTTGTACTCAGAAAGGTCCCTGGCAGAAGGGGTGTTGAGCTGACAATGCTTCTGTTTCAGTGCAGCTTCTTGTTTTTTTCTCCCAGCAGGCTGGGGTGGCTGAAGAGCTTGATCTGGAGCTGCTGCTTCCTTGTATTTCACACAGGATTTCTTCCTTCAGGGCCAAAGTGCTGAGAAGAAAACAGATATTAGCACAGCTGAGACAGAGCCATGTTCAGAGCTGCATGTTGAGCAAACAGAGACTTCAACCAAAATGCCTGCCGGCAGTGCAGAGGCTGTGGCAGTCCGGCAGGAGCAGCCTTTCATTGTCCTGAGCCAGGAGGAGTATGGGGAGCACCACTCATCCATCATGTACTGCAGGTAATGGACTGGCAGAAGAGGGCTTTCTCATAGAAGCCTCTGTAGAGGATCAGCTGTGTCTGACTTCTTTCTTCCAGCCTGTTCTGTCCAGCACTTTGTGCATGTTTTCTCAGTTGTAGGGCAGACAGGTTGGTGTGACTAAAAAGAGCCTGTAGCTTGTGTGGTGAGAATGGACATATCAATGGGAGATGCCAGCCAGGAAGAAACTCCCTGGGAAAGCAGGATGGTATTGCTTAATACTTTGCATGTGAAGCTTGCTGTGCTTCATTGTGCCAGTGGACTGAACAGGACGTGGTACAAGGAAACTTTGATTCCTACAGAAGGAGTTGGTGTGTGGCCAGGAGAGGAAAGATCACTTGCATCTAAGAACTTAGGGAGAAAAACATCTAATCAGTTTCCTCTGCACATAGGGTTGACTGTTCTGGACGGAGGGTGGCCAGCTTGGATGTGGATGGGGTCATCAAAGTCTGGTCTTTCAACCCCATAATGCAAACTAAAGCTTCATCCATTTCTAAATCTCCATTGCTGTCTCTGGAATGGGCGACCAAGCGTGATCGGCTGGTGAGTAGCCTGTGTGCAGAGGCTCAGAAGTCACAGCAGATGATTTGGGGCTGTGTTGCATGTGAATTTCTAGACAGCTGCATTGTGGGTAAGATCAGGGCAACAGTTTCCACTGCAATGGGACATGGTGAACTAAAGCCTGTAGGATCTAAGCAAAATTTGAGCAGGGAGTGTGCTCCATAATTTCCATGACTTCCATGTTGTGATGTCCGTTATTTCTTCTGCTTTGTAGAGTTTTCTGCTTGCTGATAGAAAGATTTTTCTTTCTGAAATACATGTGTGCTCAGCAGGAGTCAGGCTCTGAAGTGACACAGATCTGGCTTGGTTCATTTTCTTTGATATGAAGTAACAGAAAAAATGGAAATAATGGAAATAAGACACAGAGCACACTCTTTGATTTAAAATGTAGCAGCACGGATAAAGCAGATGTGAGCCCTTCTGCATGAATTAAGGTGGCTTCTACTTGGTTTTCTCTTAAGCTTAGACGGTTAATTCAGCGTTACTCTCTTTGCTCCCCTCAATGTTGAAGCTCCACAGATGTTTTTCATTCTGTAACATTAAGCCATGAGCCATGCTTTAGAAGGTGGCTTTTACTTCACTTTGGTGCCCATTAGATCTTTTTCTCACTGAAAAGCAGTGCTTTGACTCTGTGCAATACATGCAGAAAGGCAGGATGTACCCTAATGGAGTCATGTTTAATCCAAATGCATAAATGGGAAAAATTTACTCTGTGGTGTTGGTGGTTGTTGGATGGCATCACTCTATTCCTCACTCACACTCCTTTCCTCTCCTTGTTGGTTTCAAGCTATTGCTTGGCAGTGGGGTCGGGACAGTTCGTCTTTATGACACAGAAGCGAAGCAGAATCTCTGTGAAATCAGCATTGATGAAGACATGCCCAGGTAACTCTGGAATACTGTTTTTTTTAGATATAAATGTTGTGGTTTGACTGAGGAATGGTAGGTGAAGTCTCAGCTGCTTTCCTGTAACGGCAGCACTATCTAGACCTTCACCTAGAGGGCAGTCCCTGTCTGAGCAGTGCAAAACTCCTCAGTTAAACGGGGGACATGTAAAATCTGTCAAAGCACATGAATCCCACTCTCCTTTACGCTCTCCTGCAGGGTCTTAATGGGAGAGCTCGTGGTTGAATGGTGTGCCTGAGTCAGCTGCTGGAGAGGGGCAGTTCAGACTGTTTGCTCTGTTTCAGGATCCTCTCACTTGCCTGCAGCCCAAGTGGTGCCTCCTTTGTCTGTTCTGCGGCAGCCCAGAGCCCCATCTCCCACATGGACTTCTCAGCAGTCAGCTATGGGGGCAAAAGCATGAACCAAGTTCCTGGGAAGCTGCTGCTGTGGGACACTAAAACGATGAAGCAGCAGGTACTTGCTGGGTTTCGTTCCTTTCTTGGTCTGCTTGCTGAGAATGAGTGTCTTCTGTTTCAATGTGTAGGAGCCCTCTTTCTAAATTATGCTGATGTTCTTTTCAATACCCTTCTTTTTCCTCCTTCCTACTTTCCCCTCTATCACATGTGGGTTAAAAATGAATAGTGTAAGTAGCTGCTGGGTTTTGGGTGGGGTGTTTCTGTTTTGTTGGTGTGTTGGGTTTTTTGAGGGATTCCTCAAAATAGTCCATAGACTTGTTTCTATCCTGCTTGCACAGTCTGTGACTGGAAATGTCCCAAGTGGATTGAATGATGCTTTGCTCAGGCTTTCTTCAGTTCAGCTATATCAAAGGGTTTTCTTTGCTGCTATTTTCTTTGTCCTCTCTGGTTTTAAGTGAAGTACTTCTTTCAGAGGCTTCATCCCACGTCATCTTCTCCATTGTTTCAATTCAGATGGATCGGATTCTGGCAGGGAATCCTCATGCCATCCCTCACATTTGCCCTTAAGAAATGCTGTCCCTGATGTGTAGGAGAAAGCAATATACTCAAGCTAATGTCTGCCAGAAGCTGGTTTTGCAGCCTTGAGACCACGGCCAAGAAAGCTGGGCTTGACTGAGGTGAATTTTTGGCTTAGTGTCACAGTAAAATGCAGCTGCCAACCTTGAAGTCTGTAGTCATGGGAGGTGTAGGGCTCCAAACTGGAGGATTTCTTGCTACTAGATACCATCTATTCCCCCTCTCTTGGAGAGAGCTCCTCAGCACCCCCAGCTCCATTTCTCTGCATTAATGCAGGCTTTCCCTTCCAGCTGCAGTTCTCCCTTGAGCCTGAGCCCATTGCTGTTAACTGTACAGCCTTCAATCACAATGGCAACCTGCTGGTCACCGGGGCTGCAGATGGGATTGTTCGTCTCTTTGGTATGTTGAAATTGGGTGGTGACATGGCCCCTTGGTGTCCCCAGCTGGGTCTCCCTAGCGCCCTTCTTTTCTGCCAGCAGGGAGGCAGCTGTGGGATGTGCCTGAACACCAAGATGGAAGCTATTTTCTGTCCTCCACAATAGCTGTCAGGAGTGAATTGACATAAACTTTCTCTGGGAGGTGTTGGCTGGAGACCCTGGAAACAACAAATCCCATGCTGCTGGATTTGTTGTTTCCCTCCTGCTGAGAAGCAGAGTTAACTTGCCCTTGAGCCATGTGGTCTTGGCTGTGCCATATAGCAGTACCATTGCCAGAGACTGAGTCTTGAGAAGAGGAATTAATGTGGGACCTTCCAGTTGAAGGCAGGGTTTTGACATCGGTCCTTCTTCCCTGAGCAACTCCTGTTTGTCAGGTTTTGTCCTCTTCAGCCTATCCTTGTGTTAAAGGCAGTTTGGGCCTCCCTATTCTGTGAACTGAGGGATCTGTTTCTGACCTGGGTGCTGTGCAGGAGGCTGCAGTCCCACATCTGTGGGAGGACAGAGCTGGCAGCAGCTGTGAGGGTAGACAGGATAGCAAGGGGAGGAGAAGGGTGGCAGTGGGGCTTAGATGCAGAATGCCAGCAACTGACAAGTAACAGCCCTGTAAAGCTGGAGGAAGAGGTGACTAGCTATAGGCAATGATTTTTGTGGCCAGTGTAAAAGCCACATGCTGGAGAATAAGCACAGGGTTCTGGGACTGGACTTGCCCAGGCTGGTTTAGAGGGCTGAGACAGAGACCTTATGAATGTAAAGGGCCTCTGTGTACATCAGTTCTGTGAAAGTAGAAGGAGTGTTGAGTACTGGTTCTCCCCTCAGATATGCAGCAGCATGAGTGCGCCATGAGCTGGAAGGCACACGATGGGGAAGTCTACTCTGTTGAATTCAGCTATGATGAGAACACAGTCTACAGCATAGGCGAGGATGGCAAGGTAGGTTCTGGGTTACTGATCAGCTGGCAGTGAGATCCCTTCTGGAGTCTTCTCCATATGGTGGGGATAGCAGTAAAAATACCTTCAGAATCTGGAGGATCTATGGACTGCTAACTAAGCTTAGATGTGCAGCACCACCCTGCTGCATGCAGTCTCTGCAGAGCGAGTGACTGGGAAGTGTATTAATATCTGGAGCTATCTTGGACCTTGTGTGCAAATCCTGCTGTTGGTGATATCCCCTTCCTAGGGAATCCATGTGAAGATGACCTTTCTGTGCCCCTGAGATCACCACATTGGAGATGTGGGATTCACCAGAGAGCAGATCCTTGACCACTTTGCATAAATTTTCTTGTCAGCAGCTCCCTGTTGCTTAAAATATAGGCTTCAGTTTCTGCAGTTCCAGAGTCTTCAGCAGTAGAGGTGTGGCTCAGGGAGAGAGCTACCTGCATAAAAGTGTGGATCCTTGGCTGGTGAGAGTTAAGTGAATTCCCACCAGGATCCTGCATGCAGTGTGGAAGGACACATAGGCAGCAATGCTCATGGAAGGTAGGGCATATGTTTGCCTATATAGAAGGCACTCGTAAAGCCTTTGCAGCCTGTGTTTTTAAAAATATAGCCACTTAGATATAGGTGTCAAAATGCCATCTCCTGTTTGGGAGGAATAGCCGCTTAGCTTAAAAATGACAAATGGTCCCTCTACTTTCATCCCAGTCAATTTAACTGTGGGCTTTTGTCATGTCCTTTTGTCATTCTAGTTTATTCAGTGGAATATTCACAAAAGTGGCTTGAAGGTGTCTGAGTATGATCTTCCTAGTGAAGCTACAGGTCCTTTTATTCTGTCTGGATACAGTGGCTACAAGCAAGTCCAGTTCCCAAGAGGAAGGCTTTTTGCTTTTGACTCTGAGGGCAACTATATGTTGACGTGTTCTTCTACTGGGGGAGTAATTTTTAAGGTAAGCGTGAGAAGTGTTGGGGAGTACTTTTATGCGTCCATTGAAGCTCTTAATGTTACAAGGCTGCAACAGCAGCCACTGCAGGTTCTCAGGCAGCACCTACCCATACCCATCTGTGCTCTGTGAAGTTGCTGCTTGGTTTCATACAGCGTGCATTTTAGCAGTATGTGGTGTTTAGCAAGACTTTGAACCTTCTATAAGTGTTTGGTACTCTGAATGTTCTTAAAGCTTAGCTGCAGCAGTTTTCCTTAGTGCCCAAGTGCCTAGGACAGAATTTTATTTTTAAAATATATTAATGCATGCCAGTTCAGTGCAAAATGTGTGATTGTTGATTGATGCTCATCGTCAATCTGCCTTGTGTGCTTACTGATGCCATGTTAGTCCAAGCCTGATTCTCTCCTCTTACTGTGTACTGAAATTAAATGAATGGTAAGACTGAATGGTTCAAGCACCCAAATTTCTGTGCTGCAGGAACAAGTGGTTACTGATTGCATGCCCCTTGCCTGCCTCCTCTCAAGTCAATACCCATCAGTAGAAGCCACTGCAAGGCAGATTAGATGGAATTTTGCCTTTGCATCTGGGACATTCACAGCACTGCAATAACAGGAGCCTGTAGGCTTGTGTGCTTCTCGTCAGTGTTTGCTCTTAGCCTGCCTTGTTCAATTACTGCTGCTCAGCTGATGTCAGAACCTGAGCTGCTTGAGAACATGTGCTCCTCTTGTGAGACTGGAAATTTACTTCCTCATGAATACATTTCAACATCTCCCTGATTTTCTGCTTAATTATGTATGCTGATAGGGATATGGAGTCTGGAGCAGAAGTTGACTTCTGTGGGTGTACTGCCCTCACTGATGAAATGTGTCTCCTTAAACTTATGCTTCTTTCTTTCAGTTAAATGGTGAGGAAAAGGTTCTGGAGAGTTCCCTTACCCTGGGAGGACACCGAGCTCCCGTTGTCACAGTGGATTGGAGCACGGCCATGGACTGTGGGACCTGCCTCACTGCTTCTATGGATGGGAAGATTAAATTAACAACCTTACTGGCTCAAAAGTCTTAACCTGGACAGTAGTGAAGCAAAAGATCAAGAAGACAAAAACAGTGTTAACTCCACAGGAACAAACTGCATGGGAGAGAAGGCAAACCACAGTCCCTCTTCTCACTGTAGCTTTTGCCTCTTGACAGATGTTAAAAACATTTGCCAAACCACTGTGCAATAGAATGCTGGTATGGGACAGGATCAGTGGCAGCACTGAAAAATAAGTCTCTACTGACCCACTGTGGCAGCTGGATTCCTTCTGTTAGGGAGTCTTGAGTAGCATGTGGCTACAGGGCTGCTAGGATCATGTCAGGGGTTCTGCAGAAGGTGAGGCTGGAGGAGGCATGCATGAGGCAGCACAGTGCACGGTGATAAGATGGCTCAAACTGGAAAGGCTGGTGTGAAACTAGAGTATACGTTCAGTATAGTATTTCTTGTGGCTTTTGCTGTTAGTTTGGATTTTTTGTTTGTGTTTTCTGTAAAAAGACAATATTCCCTTGCACTTGATTCCTGTGCTCAGTTTTTGCTGCAAAACATGGAGGGTGGCTGGGGCAGTGATGTGCCAAGAAAGTCTCCTTCATGGAGATGCCTGTGCTTTCACCAGGTACTTCCAGCACTGACACCTGCATGCTGGTAGGAACCAGTGCAAGACATCCAGGAAGAAAAACAGCTAGTGTCTGTTCAGATGTATTGTGTTTCCTTGTGATAGATATCTACTGCCAATTAGAGGAGAGATCATGAGCCAGACTTTTTGAAATGCTTGTGTTGGGGTTCAGAACCTACATAATGCCTAGCAGCTACCTGATGGCAGATAGGGAGGAGGGCCAGAACCAGTCTGGTCCTGTCACTGGAGCTGTCTCTCCCCCTCCATCCCCTGCCAACATCAGGGCTTGTGCGCTCAGGGATTGCGTAGTCTTTGAATGTACTGCTACATAATCAGATTTCATCTGTTCACATATTGCCACGGAGCTTACTGCTGTCTATGTCCTTCCTTGGCCTTTATTGGGAGCTTACAGTACTGTTGTTCCTTGGCAGAGCCCTCATTCTCAATTATGGGAAGAATGGGTCCAGTTTACTGTTTGAAGATACCTTTTCTGTTTTCCAAAGGCCATTTTGGTTTTGGAGCCTGGACATCTGTTAACATTCACCAATGTGAAGGGAGAGGTGGTGGAACATTATTTCATTTGGGTTTTGCCAAGTTTGCTTTGGTGTGTTGGTGAAGAGTAGCTTGTCAAAGTTGTAATGCCTGGCTAGCTATCTCCTTGCATTTGAAGAGATGGGGACTGGGCCAGGAAGCTGGCATGTTCCCCCATTGCCCAGCCAGACCTGGAGCATGATGGTTCTTCTCCACCTCCAAGTCTCAAACTGGGGGTTAGAAATGAAGATTTGCTTGGCTAACTCAACAGCCATTCTTCACTGGTAGTGTCATACCTCACAACATGACTTGGTGTCTGAGAAGGCTGTTGTCATCTTTGTGTCTGGACATGTTGGCTACAGTCTACAGTTGTTTGGAGGAGGGACTACAACACACCCAGAAACACTCCAGCATGCCTGTCAGCACACATTTGGCTTTAACCAAACCCAAAAGCAGCAGCAAACACAGGGGCTCTGTGAAACCTGAGAAGCAGTTTTTGGAAAGGAATACACACACCCTTCTCTAAATAAGGACAAAGTGACTTCATGGTTAGTGATCTTTCTAATCATGGGCATCAGTCTTATAAAACAAAGCGAGTTACTTCCATGTCACTCGATCTACTCCTGTTGCAAAGTTGTCTAGTATACTGAGACCACCTTAGCACCGCCCTCCACTGTTACTTCAAGTGGTGCAAACAGACAGGCACCAAAGGCAGCAGGGCTGTTCCCTCCCAGCTCCCTCATTACAACTAGCTGCACACTGAACCACCCTGGGTTACAGAAAACCCCTAAGAAAGTGTCAGTTCCCTGCTCTGCTTTGCTACAGAAAAGGCCTGGGCCCCTGCCAAGAGACAGGCTTTCTCCATACCTTAGCTTTAGACCTGTCAAATTCCTTCTGCAACTGCAGTTTCTGTTCCTGAGGATCCCTGGTGTGACGCTTCTTAGCTTTGAGTGAAACTTCTGCTAGGAAGTTCTTGGTGGTTTCAGCAAGCTCCTGCTGCAGCTGACGGATCAATTTCTAAAGAAATGGTGTTCCATGATCATGGAGAAATTGGCAAGCAGATGGCAAGACGAGGGATGCTTATACTCATGGGATTATATCATTAGATTGGTCGTCAGGGTGGCCAGCAGGTCGAACAAGGTGGTTCTCCCCTCCTACTATGCTCCCTGCAGAGCCCCCAGCTGCAGTACCACATCCAGCTCTAGGATCCCCAGCACAATGAAGACATGGACCTGTTGGAGTGTGTCCAGAGGAGGGCCACAAAAATGATCAGAGGGCTGGAACACCTATGAAAAAAGGCTGAAAGAGTTGGGGTTGTTCAGCCTGGGGAAAAGCAGGTTCTGGGGAGACTTTATTGCAGCCTGACAAAGGGCAACAGTTTTAAACTAAAAGGGGATAGAGTTAGATTGGACATAAGGAAGACATTTTTAGCAATGAGGGTGGTGAGACACTGGACAAGATTGCCCAGAGAAGTTGGAGACTGCCCCATCCCTGGAAGTGTTCAAAGTCAGGTTGGATGGGGCTTTGAGCAAAATATTTCTGCAGCACTTTTGCTTCAGAATGGGAATGACATGAAGTCCAAAATACAGTTCAGGTCCAGATTCAATCATCCCCTCTCAGCAGCAAACCAAAACAAACTCAGTAGAAAAACAGTTCTCATTATACCGATTCTGTTTATGGATATCTGCATCAGTCTCTCATAGAGTCACCTGTCCGTTGTGGCAAAAATCTGTATGAGTTGAAGCATCCTTGTTGGGCAGGCTGGTCAATGCTTTCCCTGGATCTTCAGAATCCGTCTGTGTAATTTAAAAGACTTGTGTGAGAACTGGCATAGACTACTTCTCCACCCGTTTTCACGTACAAAACTCCTGCTTCAGCCAACATGCATAACATGGTAACAGGTGACTGAAAGAATGAAAAGGGCAAAAAGAGCCAGCATGTTAGGCATCTCTGTTGAACTGGGCTTTCAAAAGAGGATGAAGTACAGCTGCCCATGATAGAGAGGACCGAAGCAGAAGCAGCCAAGTATGTAGACTATAAGCCCTATGGGTAACCAGTTGACATTGGCTGGATCCAAAGAAGAGAGCTGTGTGGTGAAAAACCAGCAATCCTCACAGTTGCAGCCTTCTAGGATTTCAGGGGATTGTAACTGGTGGGAAGCTTTACCGCTTCAATCCTGTATTAGAAATCCAGCTCAGAGGCCAGCTGCTAGGAGAGCCAGGTCATTAGCTCGACCTCACTGAACATATTGCCTGCAGCAGCAGCATGTCAAGATCCCAGTTACGAGCGGGTGGCTGAAGCAGTAGCAGAGTGAAACGAGCCCAAAAGGGAGTGAGCCGAGCGAGGCCCCACTGCCTCCTTCAGGGAAGGTACCTCAAAATCCCACGAGGAATCAACATCTTTCTCTTGCTCTGCTCCTACAGCTGGCAAGACACCTAGAAAGGAGGCAAGAAGTGCAATGCTGCTGTGAGTGCTTATTTCACTCTGCCTCTCCCCATCCCTCAAGCCTTGCGTCCCATTGACATGCTAACATTTTCCTACAGGCCACAGTGATTTGTCCTCATCAGCTCCTCTACACTGAATGATCCTACCTTCTCCAGTCAATGAAGCTGTGCCCAACAGTAAGTCAGCAGTCCTCCCAGAGCAAGAGGTGTCAAGTGCTGCTGGGCCTTCTCTGTCTCCTGCAGAACATTCTCCCATCCTTTCACAGTGCACATATTCCTCCAGTTGGTTAGCAATACTGTATACAAAAAGAAAGGAAGGAAATGAACTGGGTAAAAATACCCCCACACTTCCATACACTCTCTACAGAAGAGCGACAGGATTCATGAGCCATCCCACTCAGCTGATAATATGTAACACAACTTTCTGCACTACTAGAGTAGTAGAGACTGAAGGCACTGCAGGCACATTTATGCTACAGATGCCTCTTCTTGTCTATGGAGTAACTCACACCTGCTGGCTACAGTCTCATCTGATAAACCTGCTCTCCATTTTGAGGGCCAGCAGGACTGCAGTTATTTTCCAAGCATTGCACAGGTGCTATTTTCTAACAACCCTGGCAGAGGGTCAGCTGGGTCTCCATAAAGATACCACTCTCAGGCTTGCTTCATAAGCAGAACCAAAAAAAAACCCCAAAAATAACAAAACCCAGAAAGCAAGAAAAGAAAATATTAAAAATGTGCTCCATACCAAGGCTGCTATGCAAAATGGTGCATTAGCACAACACTGATACTGTGCCAGAAGCCTGGAGGGAAAGAATGAAAATCTTGCTTTGCTAGAGCAATTCTGTATTCCTAAAGGGGTTTTTACTCCACAGTTTACCTAGGCACCCTTCTCTCCTGCTTCCCATCGAGACAGGCTGACAGAAGGGTTAGGGGGAGAAGAAATGAAGTTGAAACCCAGTGAAAAGAGGTCATGGGCAGTTGTTTATGGCTAGACAAGGCCTGCTCATAGGCATAATGCAGTTCATTCACCCATCACTAGGGAAGAGGGCTATTTCCTTCAGCCTAGCTGTGAAACATGCATAGGCACCTTAGCGAATGAACAGCCAGGGGTGCAAAGCTACCCACAAGAGGAAAACTGCTGAAAGGTTAAGCTTGGGGGATATCAGTTAGATCCCCTCTGAAACAAAAGGCAGGTAGTTGCTGCTCAGTTGAGTTGAGCAGATCTTGGCAGCACATAGGTGAATTCCCAGAGAGACCTGTGGGGGGAAGTTTTTCAAATTGCCTCTTGCGACAGAAAGAGATGCATCAGAAGATGTCGCTGAGCCTTCAGCAAAGGTCTCAACACCTCATTAAACCTCAGTGATGTTACCAAAAAGGGACATACATCAGCAGGGACATTCTGAGAATGCAGCTACTCTAATGAGGATGTGCAACACTTACTTGGCATGTTGAGACACCCTGGCATAATACACAGCTGTGTGGCCAGATGGGTCTTCATGAGAAAGATCAGCACCATGCCGAAGAAGAAGTTGTATTACATTCATATCCCCAGCAGCAGCAGCTGCCATAAGAGGGGTCCTAAAGCATCGAGAAGATGACAGGAAATACATCAGCTTCTGCAGACACTGCATTGCCATTCCTTCAGTCCATCTTTGCTCCCCAAACAGTTTATTTCCCCTCTCCTACAGGCAGAGTGAAGGCACAGCCAAACACATGGTAGTGTTGGAGAATTCAGGTTGGTGGGACCTCAGTGGGTCACCAGGCCAACCACCTGACTTGGGGCATGCATGTGCATGTGTGTCAGCACAGCCAACCCTTTTTGCAGTCCTCAGTGCAGAAAGTGTCCCCTGAGGTAAGAGAGCAGCTGAGTGCAGATCTGCTTTCACAAGTCACACAGAAGGAACTCCTCCTGGGCAGCTCCTGGTTCTTTTTCAAAGCTCATTCCTATGCCTCCAATCAATCCAACCTGAACAACACTAAGGAGTCCCATGCGCACTTTTCACAAACCCTTCACCTTCTATCCTTATCTCGAACGTGTACGTCAGCTCCTTTTTGAAGAAGGAACTCGACCATCTCTTCACAGTGCTTGGTGATCGCAAGAGTAAGCGGAGTGTATCCCAGCTGAAAGGGGAAATGATCTCCCTTAGAATAACACAGTAAATTCAAGCAACTTTGGGGAAGAGGAGCCTTACCCAGAGTCCAAGCTTACCTCATTCTGAGCATTGATATGGGCCTTGTGCTCGAGTAACAGCTCTGCTAAAGGTTTGCTAGGAATGGCAACAGCTAGGTGAAGGGCAGTGTTGCCGCCAGCACCTTTGAGGTCAGGGCTGGCACCGTGCTCCAGTAAAACAGCCACACAGTCTTTGTGCGGGTCCTCTACTGCCTAGAAACAAGACACAAAGGAGGAGTAACTTCCAATAGCTACAGTTCTCTCTGCCAGAACACCTGCATCTTCCCAACACTGCTAAGTATGAGCGTCTTCAAAGATTAGGCAGCATATGCCCCTTCCCTGCTGACTACAACACACCTGTTTCTACACAGGCCTACATGTAAAGAACTGTGCAAGGTATATATCACTCAGTGCATCATGGATAAGCCCAATGTACAGCGGCATAAACTATTCCATGTACCTCCGTCAGTGGTGTTTTCTGAAAATTGTCACAAGGGTTTAGGTGGCGCTCCCTTCCTGCTAGAAATCGAACATCTGCATGGTTGTTCGCACAAGCAAGGTGCAGAGGCATCCTAGAAATTAAACATATTCAGTTAACAGAGACAGACAGCTGAAGACAATTGTTTCAGGCTGCGGTGCCCAACGCAACTGGTGAAAGTCCCAACTGGCAAAAAATAAGCTGACGACAAGCTTTCTGCTTCTGGAGCTGGTGGCAGCAGTTGCACACCCAAAGCCTGGGGCTGACTAGGGAAAATCCCCAACACTTCTGTTGAGTCAGGAGGCATTTCCTCAGCTGCATCAATGAACCAGCACAGAATCCTGTGCCTCCAGCACGACTGCCCAGCCATTGGCACAGCAAAGGAGACCTCATCTCGGCAGCCTGGAGCCTCTGGAGGCTACGTAAGTCTACGGAGACTGCAGAGTCTGTGTAAGGCCCAGGATTTTCCCCCGATCAGACCCGCATGTGTCCCAGAGACACTCTACAAGCAACAGGGAGACCGGGCTGTGTCCTGTGAACCCACGCCCTGCTAAAGCAAGCTTCTCCGTCTGGCAACAGCAGAGGAGCCGTCTCTGCTTGGACGACGGCTGCTGAGCTCCACAGAAGAGTTACTACAAGGACCAGGCGGGCAGGGCAGGGGAGGGCCGGGCAGGTCAGAGCGTAGCATCCGCCGCCTCCTGTCCCAGCTGGGGCCGGCCTCCGGTAGGGCCAGCGCTGTGGAGCCGGCAAGGCGCCGCGGGCGCTTGCCTCCCTGCTGGGCTTTGCCCGCTCCTCCCGCCAGGGTGGGTGGAAGCTTCGCGCCGGGCCCTGTCCCCCCCTTACTGCGGCTTCGCGTCTCGCTCCTTGATGCGGAGCCTCCTCCGCCACCAGCGCCGCCGCTGTGGGGTCAGGTCGCCGCTGGCTGCCGCGCTGTACAGCCCGCCGCGGCCCTCCTCCCGGAGCTCGGGGGCCCCGGGGGCGCAGGGAGCGGAGGCGCTGCTGGGCCGCAGCCGCTCCCGCAGGCTCCTGAGGAGCGTGATGAACCTCTGCATGCTGGGACGGGGACACGGTCCGCCCCGAGTCCAGGAGGCGCCCGGCGGGCTGTGCCGAGCCCCAGGCGGGGAGGGGGAAAGGGAGAAGGCGAGAAGGGCCGAGAAGCAAACTCCGAGCGGCGGCCGAGCCTCACAGCCCCCCAACACTGCTCCCGCCGCGGCGGCGACCACACTGAGGGACTGCCGCCGGCAAGGGGCGCCCTAGCAACGGCGGGCGCCCTAGCAACGGCGGGCGCCGGGGGCGTCACAAGGGGCGGTGTGACGTCAGGG